AACGCATGCAATACAAAGCGATTTGTTCGGATAGAGCTCTTCCTAACCAAATATGTGATGAATATACGCTCGAATTAGCCAAACGACCACGAAATAGTTCCAAGGAACGAGTTAGAAATCGATGTATTTTGACAGGACGATCTTGTTCAGATGTGCTTTGTATGGCATTTTTGCAATCTGCTCCAAGATGGGCTCGTCCCAAGTTTTAGGAGTCTTCGGACTATCACCCAAAAAAGTCTCTGCTTTGCCAGTCTTCCCTTCTCCTCCTGGACAAACAATCATGGGCCAAAAAACAGAGAAAATGTCCTACCCACCAATGGGCTGATGGACTGGACTTGACTCTCAATTCCTCAAGGATGATTGTAAGGCTCACTGTCAAGAACTCACTCACAGCAGGAATATTTTTTTAATGAAAAATAGAGTTTAACAGATGAGTCAGGGGTCCATTGGGATGCAAGTGTTGTTGTTATTTTCTTTCGCTCCTTGCCACAGTGAAAGTGGAAACAGTTGCTAGCTTGCTATTTCTCTCATGTGTAGATTTTTGGCTCCGGCTGCTGTTCCCTCCTTGTGCCGTTCCTCTGCACAGGAAATGGATTGTGAGACAATTGTTGCTGGGCTTCTGCATGACACTGTGGAAGACACAATGCTGGTGACATTTGAAGGGATAGAAGACCAGTTTGGAACTGTTGTCCGGCGGATTGTAGAGGGTGAAACCAAGGTGGACTTCTTTTCCTTCCCCTTGTGCATTATGTTCAGTTTGCCTACGAAGATTCTCACCCCCGGCCAGTCCTGCCTGGCCAGGCACCCGGGCGTGACGCCCGTGGGGGTCTGATGCCCGGGGTATCCGGGTGTGCAAAAAAAAAAAAAAGAAAAAAAAAAGAGTTTTTTTTCTTTCTTTTTTGTTTTCTGCGCTCTCCCAGAGGACCCCAAATCCGGGCTCATTTCGTTTTTTGCGAGTTGGCTGTCAAGTGGGGGGGAGGGGGGTGTAAATCGGTTTTGAAGGGGCTGAAAGGATTGAAAAGGGGGTGCCTTCTTGTGATTCTGTTACGTTCTTTTTATCTCCGATTCTGTGAGGAATTATAATGTGTCCCTCAGCAAAAAGTCGTTTGTATTTCAATTCTGCACAACATATTTTTTTCTTCGGAAATTTTTTGTTTTTGTTTTTGTTTTTGTTTTTTGCACTGATGCCAACAGGAGCTCTCTCTCTCCAGTTGCGCATCGCATACTCACATAGTCTCCTCTCTCTCTTCAAATGGCGATCTCGTAGACCCCTACTCAAGGTACCTGCCTCTACGCCATCGATGTCGCCAGTGAGTCTGACTTCCTTGCGTATTCTCTCTCTCTCGTTCCCTCCTTTTTCTTCCCTCGTAACCGTTCACCATTCCATTCTTTCTGTCTTCGCGTGTTGACCCTCGCGTCTTGCAGCCTAGTGGCCCCGGTCCCTCTGTCGCCGTGAGCTGGCTTCAAGGCCGTTTTCCACAGGTTCCGCCGGAGGGTGGTCCCATCGCCACTGGTCCCGTCCATGCCAGGACAGGGTCTCAGCTTCCTGATTGCTCTCCTCACTCTCTGCTTCCGTGTCACGGTCTAGGTGTCGCTGTTCCCTCTCTGCCGTGTCCGTCGAGGTCTCTCCTTCCAGGTACGAGAGACGGTCACCTTCATTTCGTCAGTGACCCCGTCCCGTCTGCACCTCCTCTCTGCCCAGTCCTTGGCTTCTGTAACGGCCGACTGCAAAGCCTGATCTGCTCTCATCTCCTCCTCCTTCCCCCCTTCCACGTTTATCTTCAGCCTGGTCTCTTGATTGCAGCGGCTGTAGTCCAGGACGGCCGTCACCACAGACCTGTCTCCAGACATCCGCTCCCATCTCCAGAGGAACTGGAGGTACCTTGGCCTATATCCATATAGACCGTTGCTGCGCACCATGGCCGGAAAAAAAAAAACCTTTGACAGACAGTATTCGTTACTGGCTGCCAACTCCAGGATAGCCACGGCTGAACACTCAGAGCATGAACGTGCGCAATCGGACGGTCTCCCGCACGCTCACCACGCCGGTTGGCCAGTACTCGGCGTAGTGAGATCGCTCATGTCACAGTGGCCAAAAGCCAGTCCCCCTTTCTTTTTATAGGGTCGCTACTTACCGCGATCCCCGTGCTCTGAATGAGGGACTCGAGTAATCTTTAGAATTCAGTTTATTAGCGATCTGTAATTCTGAAAATAATAAAATGAAATAGAATTACAAATAAAATAAGGAGAAACGAAGCAAGAGACCGAACACCAACGGTCGTAGTACACGTGGACCTTTTGCTATCAGTCCCTTTCACTTCGCCTTGCTGCGGAGTGATTGGGACCCTGAAATGGTGGTCCCATAATGGGATACCAGCCAGCAGCCTCTCTCCTCCAAAGGGAGTCACCGGGCTACAACTAACGGGTACCCGTGTCCGATGGCAAGGAGGGGGCTCATGTCCTCTCACAGGCGGTGACGAATCTCCTACCGATGGCCGCGGGTGCTCCTGGTTTGGGGTCCCATTAATCCAGCGATTAGATGTTCACGTCAGCAATGAGTCGAATGCGAAGGGTCTGGCCACCAGTCTGCAGTCAAGGTTCGAAAATGAACCGTTGATTCCCAAGCGACGTGACTGGGCGGGGGAACTAGAATTCGTAAGGCTAAAAAGAGGAGGATTGATCAGACTAAAGAAATAATAAAGGAAAACAGCTTTGCAGAATTCCTAGCGCCACAACTGTCAAGGGCCATCATATCTAGCAGTTCTAAAGTAGGGGCCCGGATTCAAGCAACAATACAAAACACAGCCCCGTTTCTATTTCTTTTTTTTTTTTTCCTTTCATTTTCTCCTTCGTGCCCTCGTAGTCACTGCACTCATCCCAGAATCCGGTCACGGGGACTCGGCGTGCAGTTGGGAGGGCCATCTCCCGTTTTCACTGTTGTGTCCTTAGATGACAGCGACCACAGTATGCAGACATTTGGTACGCAGCGGAGGGCTGGGACACCGCACCCTCCGACAGCGGGCCTGAGGCTTGCTGGGGGCCTAATCCCAGAACGCTTGCTTGCCCGTGAAGGGCCTTTGCGGGGCTCAGTCCTCGCAACAGTTACTTAAAAGAACATCAAGCTTTGGCGCTCTTGGAGGCTGCAGAGGGCACATGTTTCTGATCAAGGAACTGAAAAGAGCATCATGAAAGGAAGCTGTCTGAGTAAGGCCTCTGAGTGGTGCGAAGGTCAGGGAGAACAAAACGAACTTGGTGATGATATGGGACGCTGGACCTGTTTTCCAGCAGGTGTTGCTACCCAGCAATAAGTTCAGACCCATGAGCACTGGAGTCCTGGAGCTGCTCATACCACCTCAGGAGACCACCCTTGTCGAGGTTTTTTCTCAAAAGAAGAGAAAATAAGAAAAGGTCAGGGCGAACAAAATGTCACCAAGTGGTCTGCTTATGTAGGAATTGAAATTTCTTCCATGTGTTGGTGTTCTCTTTGCAGGTATCCAAAATGGGCAAGATGCACACCCAAAATTCATGCGATGTGAAAGCTGACGACCTCCGGCAAATGTTTCTTGCCATGACAGAGGAGGTGAGACTCATGCCAGATTGATGATGGCATGGCAGTAGCACTATCCTGAATATAATTACTCTCTCTCTCTCTCTCTCTCTCTCTCTCTCTCTCTCTCTCTCTCTCTCTCTCTCTCTCTCGCAATTTGGTACCTATGCAAAGCCTTGACACATTGTTCTTTCTTGAAGTAGCATCCTGGGCTTGCGTAATCCACTTCAGCCCGGATCTCTTTGAGCTGGCTTTCAGCAATGGAAAGGACTTATCGTCTCCCTTCGCCCTCATCCTCTTGTTTCTTCCTCATCTGAATCAAAAGAGTCAAGTCTTGTCTCTTTGTTTGCTGGTTCGCTACAGTTTCTGGACATTCAGATGTGCTTTTGTCTCCTCCAGGATGTCTTTGTTCAGTGGTTAATTATTTGGTGTCTTCTCCTTGGCTTCCTTCCTTTCCTGTGCGGATAAAATTTTCAAAGAATTTGTGAGAACATGGTTCCATCGTGCATGTAAAGACTCGGGAATGTCATGCAACTTGATGCAAGGGGTCGTACTACACGTGCGACCACTGAGTGTATCAGAGGTGGTGCAGAGAGGTCATGAGGGAGGAGAGGATGTTACGCGCGGATGCACACTGACGAAGCTGAGCGCGTTGAACAGGGAGTTTGTCACACCTTATGCGACCATTCAGAGCTTCTAGGTGGTCATCAGGTGCCCTGACCTATGCAGGTCTTGAAGACCTCTTCGGCAGTGTGGAAGCTCTAGAGGTTCAACAGGAACAGGCCATGAGGCAGTGGCATCATAGAGCAATCCATGGAAAAGGAAGGGGGTGGAAAGAGGGCTCTGCGAAGTGCTTGAGCTCCTTAACATTGTTTCCCTTTGGTTAGATGCGGTGGGGAACTCGTCGGCACCCATGATTTCCTCTTTTGTGGGACAGCATCCTCCTTGAGGAAGGATCCAGGCTCAAGAGGTTAGACAGTCTGACATTGGCGGAGCAGCACGTTATGTACCTGGGGGTTTGATCTCTGGCGATTTTAAAGCCCCCTTCTGTCCCTCAGACCCATCACTGAGGTAACTTGCTGGTAGTACCATCACTCTTTCTTTCCCTACTGTGACAATAGATATCGAAATGACAGGGATTTGACAACGAGCACCATGAAGATGAAGAGCAATGGGAGGGAAAGCAACAGAACAAATGGGCTTTTGTTAGAGAGAATTGTGAAGGTTGGCTTACAACAACCAGCTCCCTTTGTGGTATTCGGTGCTGCAGGTCAGAGTGATTATTGTGAAACTAGCAGATAGGTTGCACAATATGAGGACGCTTTCGCACATGCCCTCACGAAAGCAGGTTTGATTCTCATGCCCAGTTCTCATAGCGAAAGTGGCTATAGTCTTTGCTTTTCGTCCCATCCTACTCACTGAACGTCCATTCTTATGACAGTCATGGAGACGAGACTGTTGTAGTCACAGCCTCCATCCTTGTTCATCATTGCGGTCATCACATTGTTCTCAGCTTCGTTATGGAATCTTGACCAATCATCGTCATTCCCATTATAGTCACCGATCATTGTCATTGCTGTCATTGTCATCCTTGTCATCATCATGGTTATTGTCGATGACATCATCATCATCATCGTCATTGTCATCATCAATTTCAATAATCATCTAAGCGCCACCATTGTGATCATCTATCGTTTTAGTTTTGCTCTCCATGTCCTTATTGAAGTCCTTATCGCCATCGTTGCTTCCCTTGCCATCCTTTTCCTCACCTTCTATTGTATCTTTGTCTTTGTCTGTGTTCTCGTCCTTGCCCTCGCCCTCTCCCTCACCCTTATTCTTGGCTTGCCCTCTCCCTCGCCCTCATCTTTGTCCTCGTCCTTATCCTCAGCTTTGTGCTCATCCTCATGCTCATCCTTGTCCTGATTCTTATCCCTGTCCTTGTTCTGTCATCCTTTTCCTTGCTAAACTGTATCCTCTTCTTGTCTGTTCTTTTTGGTCCTCTTCCTCGTAGTCCTGAACCTTTTTTTTTTTTTTTTTTTTTACATTCCTACGCAGTGAAACGGTTTCACCTATGTCATGTTACAGATGCAGATCCCAGGGTTCGATCCCAGGACCTTCCCCCCCTTCCCTTGTACAGTACCGTGGACCCCTGTGTATTTGAACTCTCGACCTGTCCCTGAAAGTGGTCTTGCAATAACCCGTTTCATTATGCCGTGTTACAGGGCTAAGGGGCGCACAGGCAGCGACCCCGGGTTCTGGCCGTGAGGACGAAGGGGTACAGTCAAAGTCAAAACGGACCAAGCCCAGGCCACCAGTCCGACACACTCACTTGTATGCAGGTACCAAGAAGGCAACAGGACCAAGTGGAAGTCTGCAACTGTACACAATCCAGGCCCTTGGCTGTGAGTCAATCTGAGTCACCTTGGGTGGGAGACCCGAGGCCAGTCTGCCTCGTCATACACTACATAAGGCTTGGTCTCCAGGGAGTCAACATTCACTCTTGCTATGCTGCCTTGACGCTGGCTCGACTCTGACTCGACGCTGGCTCGACGCTGGCTCGACGCTGGCTCGACGCTGGCTCGACGCTGGCTCGACGCTGGCTTGACGCTGGCTTGGCGCTGGCTTGACGCTGGCACTGTGGACGATGACGCGGGACTGAGGCGACATGCTGGCGCTTCCTCTGTTGGCGCCAGCCTCTGCTGATGCGACGCATGCCACCTGTCTTCATTGCTGATGTGGCGCGTGGCACCTGTCTTCATCTCTGATGTGGCATTGGCCACACTGTCCACATTGGGTGATTGGCCGCGACAAGGAGGGAGATGGGGATCTGTGGATGATTGAGGAACGGGTTACTTACCTGAGGTTGATGTCGATGTTGTGCGCTGCTGATTGTCTCCATTGTCTTCACGAGAGAGCAGTGCCACGTGGCACTTCTATGTGATCAGGACTTGTCAGACTCGTTACTGTACTGTTTGATGACGTGGAGGCGAGGGGAAGCCCGGAGAAGAAGTGGGTAATGTTGGGCTACTCTCCTGCTGGTAATTGATTCTCTCTTCCACCCACTTACTGTCTGTTCCCCCCTCCACTCTCTTCGTCTACCGGTAACGAGACATTGTATCAGAGGTCACATTCATGATTATTGGAGACATTGTCCAGATATGAGTTGTCTTGCACTTCGACATCTGATGTTGCATACTTGTGATTACTTCAACAAGTATGGGCAGAACCAAGAGATCATCCAATATAGGATGAGCATGTATGCAGCGGAAGTCTGATAAATGGACTGACTCACATAGACTGACTCGTACAGATATCACTCAACACACAAACAATCATGAGATGGTGGGGTCTGAGCCAATCATAGACGATGCTCAGGCCCCGTACAACCATACACAGATGAAAGGTGGGAGGAGAGACGAAGGGAGTGGGAGGTGTAGGCAGCACCAGATGTCACCGAGATAGAATCCAGTAGGTCACCGATATGGTAGTCCAAAATGTCATCGAACAAGATCAAAATGTCGTGGACAATAAGTCACCAATGTCGGAGGTACAGAGTCCTAATGTAACCGGTGTCCAATCTGTGATGCCGCCGAGTATCAACCCCAACAATCTCCAAGTCTCGAATCCGGTAAGTACCACAGCCTCTTACCACCGAAGTCCAACACTGATCTCTGTCCAACTAGTGTCAAGTCTCCAATCTGAAGAAGAAGACGAAGTCTGAAGAAGAAGAAGAAGAAGTCTGAAGAAGAAGAAGAAGAAGAAGAAGTCTGAAGAAGAAGAAGAAGAAGAAGAAGAAGAAGAAGAAGAAGAAGAAGAGAACAGAGGAGGAGAGAGGTGAGGAGGAGGGGAGCCAGGGACCGTGGAGGGAGGAGAAGACCTCACCCCCGAGTACCTGGCCTGCTGCAACTGACTGAAGCCGAAGTCGGCTATGGCTGCCCGCTGCCTGGCTCCTCGCTCGCTGCTGCTGCTGCGCTGCTGCGGCACCTCCCGGCTTGCGCTGAAAATAGCGCAGCGTTACTGCTCCGCTGTAACTGAAACGAACTGGCGCTACCGCAGCGTCCAGTTGCTCGATGCCTCGAAGTGAGGCCGGCCGGTACTAAGTACCGGTGGGGCAGAGGCCGGCCTCAATGCTGCGAGGCCTGGCCGTGATCTGAACCGTCCAGATTGACGATTCAGATCGGATCGGCGGGCGGCAGCCTCAAAAGCGCCGCCAGGCCCAAAACGAGAATATCGTTTGGGCCTGCCCGTCGGTCTGGTCCAAAATGTGGCCTTTCGGCCTGCTGTACCCCCAAGTCTGGGCCTTTAGGCCCTACTGTGTCCCCTCGGCCCTAAGTCGGGTCCGCTAGGGGGCCCGTGTGGCGTCGAAGATGTAACATCTGATGAGTATCTTCCATTCTGGGTTCATTACAATTTGGTATCAGAGCATACCTTCTTCGTCGTGATCTGCTGTCAGGGGCCACGTAGCGCACAGGTAAGTGGAAGGTGCTGCAAGTGTCAGGGACGAAACGCGTTTATAAACGCGTGCAATTGATATTGCACGTCTAGACATTGAGTGCCACACGTGCGTGCAGCCTCCCTTGAAGATGATGACGTGGACACTGTGAAGAAGAAGACGGTGATATTGCTTATGTGGCGCTTTGTTGCTGACGTGGCATTGGGATACCGGCGAAGAGCATCGGTGTCAATAGGCTGACGTGGTGCTGGTTAGGCGAGAGAGAGTGTGGATATTGGGACTGCTGGCGTGGCATGATGCCTATGTGGCATCGTACTACTATTGGCAGGGCATTGTCTGACGTGGCACGTACGTGTGTTGTGATTGCCTGCTGACGAAGCGCTCCACACTTTGAATCTGCGTGGCATACCAGTGTTGGACGTGTTGGCAGACCGTGCATTGCTGACGTGGCATCCCTCTCGAAGACCTTCCAGGTCATTGATAGAGTCTGCCACGTCAGCATCAATGACCTGGAAGGTCTTCGAGAGGGATGCCACGTCAGCAATGCACGGTCTGCCAACACGTCCAACAGCTGTAGGTGAGGTGTGGATACTTGCACTTGTGTGCTGACAGGCGGTACAACTTCACGATTGCAGTAGTGCCACACATCAGCTATTGTGTCTGGCTGCATTGACTCTGCAGATGGTACAGCCATAGAGGAAAGAAGGCTGACAATTGATTGTTGTGGGTTGTGTTGGCTGACGTACTCAGTTGTGTTGGCTGCGGTTCTGTGGTTGTCTTCCATACTCACCTGTGTGTTGTGTCTTGATCACAGTGGCCGTGACTGCAGTGCCTGTGCACTCTCTGTAGGACGTCATCACACGTAGGACAGACAGCAGGCTAGAAAATAGAAAATTAATTGAGATCTGTTTCTTCCATGGTAACCGACCGGATGTCCGGACCGGTTTCCAGACATTATGCAGGGGTCCGATGTCCAGTCCTGGACGTCCGGAACCGGGCCCCCCAATGAAAAATCAGAAAAAAAAAGGGGCGGCCAAGGACACTATTCGGGTCTTCGGCGGACCCGGAAAAATACTGGGCCGATTTTTGTGTGTCTTTTCGCCCTACCGGACATTGGTCGAAGGCCGGACCCACCAGTCTGTGCAGACTCAGGTGGGGTGGCGGGAGGCAGGGGCAGCACTTTCAAACTGGCCGTTTTTGAATCTCGCGGGCGCGATGTCTACTGCCCGTCACGTCCCCCCTGCAGCCCCGCAGCCATCCACGTCCCCCCTGCAGCCCCACAGCCATCCACGTCCAGCCCTCGCCGACAAACCAGCCAGCCGCCGCCAACGTCCAAGAAGCAGGTCAGTCTCTCTCTCTCTCTCTCTCTCTCTCTCTCTCTCTCTCTCTTTCTCTCTCTTTTCCAGGTTTGTCCTTTCTTCCGGCTTTGTCCTTTCTTCGGCGGCGGGAGCTTCGGGAGGAGGTTCAGGGAGGGAGAGGGGAGGTACGCAGTGGGAGGAAGAGGCTCAGGGAGTGAGGGATGGAGACCGGCGGGTAGGGTCGGGAAAGATGGGGGGTTGGGATGGAGATTGGCGGGAAAGATCAGGGAGGTCCGGGAGGAGGTTCGGGGGAAGGTGTGCAGTGGGAGGAACAAGGTTCGGGGAGATGGGGGGGTTCGGGGAAATAGGGRGGAAGAGGGAAAGATGGGGGGATAGGAGGTTCGGGGAGATTGATTGATTGATTGATTGATTGATTTGTTGTTGTTGTTGATCTTTTGTAGTACACTATTGTCGTGCTCCAATCTCTTGAACTTTCAGGGAGATAGGGGGAAGAGGGACAGATGGGAGAGGGGAGGCGTGGAGTGGGGGGAAGGAGGCTCGAGGAGGGAGGGATGGAGATTGGCGGGGAGTCGGGAAAGATGGGGGAAACAAGCGGAAGAGGGTCGGGATGGGGACTGGCGGGTACGAGGTTTGGGGAGGTCTAGGAGGAGGTTCGGGGAGGGAGGGAGAAGACGCGGAGTG